AGAAAGACAAGGGACCTTGCTATCCACTTGCCAAAAATCACTATCCTCTTACGATGGCCCCAAATCGGAACCCTTGGTTAGCCTTTTTTCGAAAACGGCTTTATGGGCGAGAGTGTCATGAAGGATGCGACCTCCGAAGTTCTAATCTACCTTGTGGCATTTACTCGTCTTTCAAGCAGGTCTGTCCAAGCTTCAAGTAAACTCATACCCTACGCCGAAGCTTTACGATGCCGGGATCCTCTACAAGTTCATCATCCACTGCATACTTCTACTACGGAGTACTGCTCGTTCTTCTCGACAACCCTCAGCTCGCCTCATATCTACTGTGACCTTCTTTCAGAATCTCAACCACCCACCACTAGACATCCAACAACTAGTGGCTGACGACCTTCTGACAGCCGTCCTTTGTCTCTGACTGGCATCCCATGAAGCCCACCGCTCAACCTCCGTACAAGCGTTCAGGCGCCTCCGTATCGGCATCGAGCGTGGGTGCCACCATAGTGTTGGGTCCACCAGTGCCTCTGTCTTCAGTGTGTCAAGAATGCATACTTCGGCAAAGCTCTCGAGAAAGAGTGTCAAACAAAGGGGCCGGCCTGACAGCAACTCAAAAGTAATGATGAGGTGCTGTGAAAGACGGCTGCTATTTATGCTGGCACTACAAGTCTATAGGAACGCAATGACTGCCGTTAATTTTAACCTGGTATGCAAGAGCTCCAACAACAAGCGTGGCTTCATGGCTAAACTTGCTACTGCATGATACTTGACGATTACAGTTCTATCCGTCTGGCTCTGGCTAATGTCAGAAAACAAATGGTCATAGCTCTTATGCTGACCACGACTGTGCTGACAATTACGATGGCGTATACCGTTGTCACTGTTCTTTTCGCCGTGGACGGTGAGGACAGCAGACATGAAGCTGGGAGCTCAGATTACAAGTACATGAGAATCACGAAGCCGATGACCGGCAAATTCGTGAATCCGAAACATTCACACAATAGCTGCCCAAAGCGCTAGTTCCTAGATGTGCGATGAACGGCGATGTACCGCAATTCAACCCTCCATCCTAAAGCCCTAAACCCGAAATGTAAACCTCAACACCTTGGAGCCGGGATCGTTGCAATTAACATGCTGTAGAAGTGAAGCTTTAGGGTTTAGGGTTTAGGGTTTAGGGTTTAGGGTTTAGGGTTTAGGGTTTAGGGTTGACGTAAACCTGCTTTGCCGTTTGACCAGTTTCCGCAGACCTCCGAGGTCCCGGCTTGCAAAGGTATAGGGCATCAACTCCTTGATGGCCTCTGCCACCTGACAGGCGTGCAGGAGGGAGGGGGCTTAGGATGCCAAGCTTTGGGGGGCGTTAAGGATTAGAATAGGGGTCTTGGGGCCCATTATGCTATAACTATAACAAGGAGCCCCCATAATAGGATAGGAAAGTCTTAAGGCCCCCCCCCCTTTGTTAACAGCTTTCGGGAGTGTTCTAAATTAGGGTCTCGTTTAGGTCTTTCTTATCACTCCAACACGCGCCGTGGATTGAAAAGTAGCCGCTAAAGCTCAGAAAGGCGGTTAGCAGCCTTAGCGCTTCAAGCTAAACGGCTTAGGGTTAAGGTTCAGGGATTCGGGATGAAAGCTCCTGATGCAGGCTTGGTTTACAAGTTTAGGGTCAAGGCGTCGTTTTTTAGGGTTTAGGGTTTAGG